CAGTTCTGGTCTTGACAAGCTTTCTCCTAGATCACATAAATGTGTTTTCTTAGGGTTTACAAGATTACAAAAAGGATACAAATGTTTTTCTCCTTCTCTTAACCGTTATTTTGTGTCAAAAGATGTCACCTTTGATGAGTTGTCTCTTTATTTTAAAAGTCAAACTTCACCTGTCTCCATCCAATCTTGTCAACACTCCTAATACATTTAATGTTCCTGTTGTTTGTGACCCTCTAACTGTGTCTTCTTCACCATTAGTTCCTGCTCCGCAATCAGCTTCTTCTCCACTGCCTCTTCAGATTTATAGTTCTCGAAACCAATCACAACCACCACCATGTGACTCTACTCAAGTGCCAACTACTCTGTCTCCTACGGATCTGACACATGAGTCTGACCTTCCCATTACCCTCCGAAAAGGTATTCGTTCTACACGTAATCCCTCTCCCCATTATATTGCTTTGAGTTATCATCGACTGTCATTATCTTTTTATACATGTCTTTCCTCTATTTCTTTTGTGACCATTCCAAAAACTGTCCGTGAAGCTTTAGCCCATCCTGGTTGGCGTCAGACCATGTTAGATGAACTAAGTGTTCTTCATAATAGTGGAACTTGGGAATTGGTCCCGTTACCGTCTGGGAAATCTGTTGTTGGCTGCAGGTGGGTGTTTGCTATCAAAGTTGGACCTGATGGTACTATTGATCGCCTCAAAGCTCGTCTTGTGGCCAAATGTTATACTCAAATTTTTGGGTTGGATTATGGAGATACCTTTTCCCCTGTGGAAAAGATGACTTCTGTTCGTTTATTTATCGCCATGGCTGCTCTTCAACAATGACCTCTTTGTCAACTAGATGTTAAAAATGCTTTCCTCAATGGTGATTTGCAAGAAGAAATATATATGGAGCAACCTCCTGGGTTTGTTGCTCAAGGGGAGTCTTCTGGGATGGTATGTCGTCTTCGCAAATCCCTATATGGCCTAAAACAGTCTCCTAGGGCTTGGTTTGAAAAGTTTAGCAAAGTTGTTCAACAATTTGGTATGACTCGGTATGCATCAGATCATTCTATCTTTTATCGACACTCGAGTGCTGGATGTGTTTACTTGATAGTATATGTTGATGACATCGTTCTTACAGGTAGTGACAACCATAACATCTCTCAGTTGAAACAACATCTCTGTCACCATTTTCAGACCAAAGATCTTGGCAAACTTAGATATTTCTTGGGTATTGAGGTGGCACAATCCAATGATGGTATTGTTATATCTCAGAGGAAGTATGCCATAGATATTTTGGAGGAAACTAGGTTGATGAGTTCAAATTCTGTTGATACACCCATGGATCCCAATACTAAACTTCTACCAAATCAGGGGGAGCCTATATCTGATCCTCGAGCAGTATAGAAGATTGGTTGAAAAATTGAATTATCTTACAGCTTACTCGTCCCGACATTTCCTTTGCGATCAGTGTGGTAAGTCAATTTCTTAATTCACCATGTGAAGATCATTGGAATGCGAGTCATTCGTATCTTGAAGTATATTAAAGGATCTCCTGGAAAAGGATTGTTATATGGTTCTAATAACCATACAAGAGTTGTTTGCTACTCAGATGCTGATTGGGCAGGATCTCCTTCGGATAGAAGATCTACATCTGGATATTGTGTCTCCATTGGTGGTAACTTGATCTCATGGAAAAGTAAGAAACAAAGTGTTGTGACAAGATCTAGTGCAGAAGCAGAATATAGAGCTATGGCCTCAACTTCCTGTGAACTTGTTTGGCTCAAGCAATTGCTTAGAGAATTACAATTTGGAGATGTCACTCAAATGACACTTGTGTGTGACAATCAGGTTGCTCTTCATATTAGTTCTAATCTTGTCTTTCATGAGAGGACCAAACACATTGAGATTGACTATCATTTTATTCGAGAAAAGATTATGTTTGGAGATATCAAGACTGAGTTTGTTAACTCAAGTAATCAGTTAGCAGATATTTTTACTAAATCTTTACGGGATCCTAGAATTGATTATATTTGTAACAAGTTTGGCACATACGATTTGTATGCTCCAACTTGAGGGGGAGTGTTAGATATTGTTAAGATATTGTTAGATATTGGTAACCACAATATCAAACAATATCTTCTGTTTATTCTGTTACTTTCAGTTACTCTTTTAGTTGTATCTCTCTACTATAAATAGACCACCCTATGTGTGATTTATACACAAGGGAAATTAATTCCAAACCCTATTTTCTCTATATTCAACAGATAGCAATGAACAAAGTTTTTCGTTCAACAATTCTAGTACTTAGTTTTATTATATTGTATTGTATTATGTAGTTTAGAATTTAGGTAGCTTAATTTTTGTACTAGCTTAACTTTTATAGTTTGTATTATATTGTATTATTGTATTTTTTAACTACTATCTCAAGAAACTTGAACCTCTTGATTGTTTGTCATTAAAATATATTTGCAGGTTTTTGTTGTGAGACAAAACAAACTCAATATTAAAAAAATGACGAAGTTTACATTGAACCATGCTTTAACATACGTAATTTTATGTTGGACCACTTGTCGAAAACTAAATTAACGTAAATTTACATCTGTAGCATGATCCAACATAAATTTTGTTTCATATTTTTAATTTTTGAAACTCTTTTATGTCTATTTCATGTTTTATTTGATGTAAATAGACATCGATTTTCAACTAACATATATTTACATCGATCATAATAGTTGATGTACTTGTATTAATGTTAGATATATATCTAACATAAAATATCAAAATAACATATAAGAAAAGTTTATTTTGCCCTAATGATTAAGAAAGTTGTCAAAAGAATGCATATATTCAAATTTGGTTGTATAATAAAATATGAATAGACATAAGTTATAATTTATAATATAACATGATATCATGAACAAAACATATCTCATAATATAAAATAATAAATATATAAAATTTAAACAACATTACTGTAAGAGCTAAACATATGATGATATCACACTCTAACAAACATATGATGATATCACACTCTAACAATTTTAATCTCACCCTTTCCTTCTCCATCATCTTTTAAAAAATTCGTCCAAATCTAGTGTATGGAGAAAAAGGACCACTAAACTTTAAAAGGTTTAGTTCCTTCAAATATGTGGATCTTATTTTTACCCCTTTTTTTTCCTGTTTTTACATGTATGACACTTTATTTATGTATCTCATACTTTCTTTCTGCACTCCATATTTATTTAAAATGATAATATTGCTTTTGATATAATTAGATTATGAATTTATTTTTTTTAAATATTATTAAAAAATAATTTTAAAAAATAGATTTTAGAATATTTCAAGAAAACTCATTTCAACAAATTTTCAAATGAGTGGATTCGAATTGTAATATACATGACCGTCACGGATTCACTATATTCGAAATTGTTATACCATGTGTACTTGTGATGGCAACAGTGTTCCCTGAAGCACGGTACCTTTTGTAATGAAAGAAAAAAAAAATCAATGATTGTGAAAGAGTTTCAATTAAATTTATTGAATTCAGGAATCGCAATATTATACATTATCACCATTTATTTCTTTTCAAGTTTCATACATGGAATCAAATTGCCCAAGAATTTGGCTTGTGAAGCCCAGCATAAGAGTGTTTGTGACGGGTTTCAGCAGAATGGCCCTTCTTTTTCATCTTGGTACTTATGGTGGATGATAAGGTACATTCAAGCCTGGTTCACCCCAACCGTATAATTCTTAACGGATTCACCATCGCCTTATTTTTTTTCAGGCCATTTTATCTTATGAGATATGATTTTTGTTCCTTTCTCTCTGGTTTGGTCTTAATCTCATTGTTCACTAACATAACAATTGTAAACAACGGTGGGTTGACTCATTGTAAAATGTAAACTTGTTATCACCAATACACACCATGATTTGGTACTTTGTAGATCATGTTCAAACAATAGTACGTTATTTGTGGATGAAGTTCAATTTGCATTCTCCAAATTAATGTTCAGAGTGTGGAAACTATAATATAGACAAGCAATATTTGTTGTGTGAAAGTGATAGTTGATCATTTTGTATGAGATATATGTACGAATTAGACTAAAAGGAAAACAATAATTAAGCAATGGATTATCTGATAGTTATGCAGAAATGTACATGCAGGAGTCTAATTACCATTTTTGTTAGCACAATTGCTGGATAAGTCTCTGAAATATCTTAATCGGGATCTTAATTCCCCGTCATTCACATGTAAAAACTTAACAAGAGACACAAAATTCACCTTAATGATCTTTCACATCTCAATGAGATTAGCATGGGTTATTGGTTTAATGAATAATGATCTCATTGCACATACAAATTCTATATTGACTTGATTATTGTAATATGTTGTTTCTGAAAATAGAATAGGCATAAACCAGACTTAATCGTCCTTTTGAATTTGAAAGACTCTTGAGAAGTGTCATTGAAAAGGTTCATAACTCATAGCAGAAGTCCATATTGATCTAGCTCGACTAGTCCAAGTTGAATCTCTGAACAGTTTCGTTGTTTATTCCTATGCTGCACCAGAAATGTATCCACTATTTTAAGGTAAATCTTCTGGCTCGTATATATCTCTTGTGAGGCAATTTAAATCTATGTCACGTCCTAGTTAAACTAAGATACTTAAAAATTATACAGTTCCTTGTAGAAACTTTATTTCATACTAAGATCACAAAAAAAAAATACATAACAAAGCAGAAGAAAACTACAAGTCTACAAATCGTGATAATAATTTTATAAACAGTCACACATCCTCCAACACCACCGAACTCATTTTGATATACAGTCTATACAGCCCTAGGTTACAATATATACTATAATAATTCATCAAATGTAGGTACAAAATGGGCATCCACCGAGTCACTGACCATAGTAGTAGCTAGTAAGTAGTAACTAGTAAGCCAACCATAATTAATTCATATCAAAATGTGGGAAGTGACTCCGTTATTTACTAGTTCAGGATAGTTATGTGGACACACTATTGGGTACCCCTCTGCATGTAACACCAGGTTCAGAACTAGGAGCAAGTAACTCATAAGGCAACACCCCTGCACCACAACGATTCCTTAGAGACCTATCAAGGTTCCTGCTATCAATCACCTTTTCTATCTGTCTAACCTTGGCAGAGAAATCATAGAATGCCTCAATGATCTCAGCATCACCAGACCAGATCGAAGGTTGTTGCCTCTCCCCCAAGTACTCCTCATCAGGTGAGTGAGTGGAGAGTGTGTCAACCACAGCCATAAATTTTGTGGCTTGCAACAAGCTAGGCAATGCATTCAGATAATATTTTTGAGGGTCAGCAAGGAAGCTTGCATATTCTGGATCACTCTCTTCAGGTATTAACCTTCTGGTCAGTGGTGGACGATTAGGCACATAGCCACCATAAGGGTATTGGCCAAAGTTAAGAGCAGCATGTTGTGCAGATGCATTCCAAATCAATATGGAAAGGATGGAGACAAGATCCTCACTATTGTTCAGTGTAGGCCACCAACTCTCATGCCTAAGATCAGCATGGCCCACATTGATTGACTCGGAGTACCAAGCTTGTAGCTCTTTGTCGTTGCATATGAGGCTTGAATGAGGGTAGTAGTGGTTCACATAGGTGCGAACCCAGTCCTCTATGGCAGACCAGATTAGTATTCCATCAGCTGCATAGGGGTAATCTTCCAGTGTGAGCTTTAGACCATGTGGTTGTGTTGGGTCAGGTACTGCCATTCCCCTGCAATGTCATAAGAGAATATCTTCCTTAGATCTGATTGCAATTTTCATGCACCAAACAAAGCAAACACCATAAGAAAAAAGGTTTGTCCACTTTCCAAAAAGTAAAGGTAAGAGAAACTTATTTCCTATACATTTAATCAGTTGGGTCCTGACAAGAAGTATCCAAAGAGAATTGATTATAAATTACTGTAGAGAAATTATCATCAACCTGGATTAGAAATTTATCACGTGGTTAAAGACCATATAATCTCTGCATGACACGGTTATACTTTAAAAAAATATAGAATAGAAAAAAAATTGCTAGAAACGATATAATACTTTTCCATCAGATTAAGCATGGTTACAATCATTTTTAAAGACATATTATAATTTTATTAACTTTGGTCTCATAACATAAAATACAGTTATGATTTACATATAAATTAACTGGAAGCATAGTCATGATGTAGTAGTGATTCCAAACCATATAATAATATGTCAAACTCCAGAAACCCCACATAAAAAAAATGAGAAGCTGCACAGAGTACAACTTCTACAACGAGAGAAACTGACACGCATAACCTCTAAAGTGACCTTGAACCAAACACCAAAAAGGTTTTGTTAATAATGCATAAACAACACATTGTAGTAACATAAACTTTCTATTTTTTATTTCTTAAACCGTGTACAAAGAACACCGACTGTTTACTATTTGCCGTATAAGTTACGTTAGGTCTCTTTCATTTAAAGTCAAATTGTAAACAGTAAAAAAAGAAAAATACAAGATAAATGATCGATAACCTGCGGATGAGATCTGCAGGGAGGCTATCCATGTCAAAGCGCCAAAAGTTCTTGTAAGCAGAAGAACTAATCTCCATAGCGTAACGACCAGGAGTGAAGCAATTTTCAATGATTCCATCAGCATTGATCAAACTCTGTCTAGCCAAGGCATTGATTTCCAAAGTATACCTCATGTGGGGGTCCAGTAACTTGTAAATTGGATGCATGGCACTTAATTGCCTATGAGCAGCCAATATAAATGGTTCCAAGTTTGCATGTGTGCGTAACCTATACACAAATTAGCAAAGAAAACAAAACCAATGAACTAACAAGATAATAAATACCACTATTTTTATAGAACTTGTTTTGTTGGTCAACAAACTTAAGAGATTGGGGTGTCTGCATACCAATGGTTAACAAGTTGGTGCACACCAGCATCATTGGAGCAAACATGTGCCTTAGCAAGCATCCACATCCAGTTAGTAGTTGCATCAACAGGAGGTGTAACCACGCGCTTTGATCTAGAACTAGGTCCAGCAAAAGGGAGGCTAAGTTCTATAGCCACAGGCTTGAGAGTGCCACGTGGCGTGCAGAAAAAGATTGTACGTGTAGCATATGATTTCCTACCATCAAGGGCATTTATCCCTTCTAGGAAAGGTAGGTAGATATCATGATAGTCAATCATAAACAGCTTGTTTTCGTTTATTGCCTGCATAATTAAGAAAAATATGATTTTTAAGTACAAGTGGGCGAAATAATGAATGAACATAAATAAATATGGTTAGTGATGATGGTACCTCTTGGACTGTCATGCCATTGAGTTGACTCAAAATATGTTCTTCTTTAAGAGCAGACTCTTGGGGGCCATAAATTTGGGGGTCCAGTTTGCTAACTGGTGGAAAAACTTTAAGCTTCTCAATGCTAACAGGGTTAACTCCTGCAATTGCTTGACGGGCAAATTCGTCATCTCTCAACCAAGCAAATTTGTCCTCTGCACGTTAGACATGTGAGATCATTAGTTTAACAAAAAGTTAATCCATAAACAAAGATACCAGCTACCAAGTGGAGTTTAAAATAATATTAACATGCATAAAATACTACACCCACATGTGAAACATTAAATTAACAATTTGATGCAGGTTTGGCTACAATTTTTGCTCATATAATATAATAATGATAACTGTTAACTAGATGCCCGTAAAGCGCACACAGAAAATGAACAACCCATCTCAGTTTGAATTGAACTGACAAACTTTTTCTTGGGTGAAAAATCAACTGACAAACATTAAAAGCCAAATGGCACGTTCTAGTGGTCCACTTGCTAGTGAGTTTTACCATATGTTTTGTCATGCTATATTAAATATTAAAGGGTAAAGCAACAGTATTCCAATTCAATTCTTATAGAACCCCACCACTAGATTTGTGTTTTGAATTAACTTATCACATGTTGCTTCAGAATCATTCTTGCAAAGCCTTTCATAAGAAAAAGTATTTTAAGCAAAACCAAAACATGCACAAATAAAAAATTAACCCCACAGGAAAGAATAAAAGAGGTTCTCTTTTATTAGTGTCGGATTCCGACATAATTCATTTCTTATTGACAGTTCAGAGAAGCCAAATAGTTTATCTTCACTGAAGAAATCAGCACACAGAATTGTGTACTGTAACCAAAGTTTAATGAAAGGAAAAAAAAAGAAGAAGAAAAAAAAGACAAGAACAAAAAAAGTATACTCACTGGAAATAATTTTAGGGGTGTCATACTTAAGAAGTCCCTGGCTGGACTCTTGGATCTTGCTGACAAATGGGATTTTCTTCAACACGTCATCTTGCAACCCCAACTTTATGAGCAACCCTTCACTGTAAAGGCCATCAACATCTGAAAATTCATTGAAGTCTTGGTTGCTAGCAGAAAGACTAGCCTTGAGACCAGGGATCAAGTTATGCAGCACCGCCTTCAACCTCTTCACAGAAAATGTGTTCTGCTTAGACTCCTCAAAACGTTCATCTCTTGGCACATACATAGGCAGTGGCTTCTCCACACGACTCTCTGCATACATATCTGCACCATGCAATCAAATAACCTTAGTCACATGTTACACTAAATTCTTTTTCTAATCATGCATAACAACCAGCAAAAAAATTCAGATTGAAACACATACTTGAAATGGATAAATAAATAGCACTAACTCTACTGATAATATCTTTTTGGGGGGTGACATCAAAACTTTCGTAGTAAATTTTTCCTTTAATTCATTTCTTATTACCTGTATCGCTTGGTTCACGGCCTGTACGACACCGTCTTGGGTATGGATACATATCTGATCCTCCAAGATTTGGTCTGGCAAATTCAATTCCTTTATCTGGATTTCCCAAATCATTGTATATATCATAGTCATATATTCTGTCAGATAAGTTTCTAACTCCTTTGCCATCACCTCTGAGATTTCTCAACTCTTTCTCCCTCAATAATCTAAGCCCAGAAGGTGTATCACCAGGCAAATAAGGCTGATCAAATAAATCACAAAAGAGTGAACAAATTTTAGGAAAAAAATAAAAAAATTAATAGATAATTATTATTGTAACTTTGTTAAAAATAATAGACTACCTCTTCTATCTTTTATTAGACTATTCTGATTGTGACATACATTACTATAGTTTTCATGAAATTTATTAACCAGTATAAGTCCTTGTCTCTTGTATTCATAAAATTCTCAAAAGGTTATTTAATTATGTATTGACACTGCAAAACATGAATTAAAATGTAATTGAAAAATATCTAAACCATCTTCAAAGGAGGAAACATAGTGGATGTTTTCCATTGGATTGATGTAGAAATTGATGGGTCAAATCATAGATACTTGGCCCATGCAAAAACAGCACAGGAATCACTCAATGGTTTTCCCACTTTAATGTTAATGGAACAGCTTTTTCTTTTCTTGAGCAAACTATAATATCACGCACTAATAGCCATTGGCATTGAAATAATAAATTAAATTCGTTTTTTTTAAGGTAATTAAACGAATTTTCCACTTTGCTGGCCTTTCAAGATTCTTCAAACAAAAATAAATATTGTTTTGACTTTTATTTTTCAGGCTAAAAGAAAACCAGAAAATAAATATTGTCGACTCATTGGATGCACATAATAATTATTAACTTTACTGGGCCCTGATATTAAGACAGAGAGGAAAATAAAATAAAATAAATAACAATAATAAGAACAATAATTTAATTAAAATGAACAAGAAATAAGATAATGTTAGATTACCTTGTTGGAAAAGAAAATCCTCTTTGCAGGATGATCTTTTCTTGCTTGGACCCAGGAATTGCAGGGGAAATGAACTGCTCCACTGGCAAATCCTTCAATGGTTATGCTTTCCAAAAAGAACTCTTTCTGGTGTTTGTTTGTCACAGTAATTGCTCCTGGCTCCCCAAAATTAGAGTCAATTATGAATTCAGCTGTGTAATTAACTCTTTCTACCTTAAGATTCGACTTCTTCGACCAATCCTTCAGCACTGCTTCATTACTCTTCTTTGCAGCTTTAGTCTCTACAAAACAAAACAAAAAAAGCACCAGGGATTCATTCAGCTTTTTCAACCATCCATCAACAAGTAAACTTAAATTCATTCAGATTAAAATTATAAAAAAAATTAAGATTAATTTAAAGTAGATAGCAATAATTATTTACGCGATTTCTGCATAGAAGGTTGAAGTATGCCAAATTAAGAAACTTTTTTAGAAGGGGAGGGAAAAAAGTAACTTTTGAAGAAATATGAGACATTTATGGAACACCCTTTAAGAGAAAAAAACAGTATTAGGTAGGTTGAGATCATGGTTTTGGAAAGAAATGAAGTAGTTTTTGTGAGAGACAGCACAGCAGCATAGAGAAAGTCTTACTTGGATCAATCTCAGTGCTAACAAGTTCAAGGACAACATTCCTTCCAATCCTGTCAGTTAAAGCATCAATATGCTTCACAATGGTCTCTTTCAAATCCTCTTTGATCTTGTTCCTCACTGTGATCACAGCTCTAACCTTGAATTTCACTGGCTTCTCAGCAGACACGGAAGAAGAGGAGGAGGAAGAAGATGATGATGAAGAAGAAGAAGAAGAAGAAGAAGAACCCTTAACCAAATCCTCACTTATAGCTGCCACAGGAAACTTTGCATCCTTCCTCACCCTCACAACTCTTTTGTTCTCCGAAGGAACTAAAAGCCGAGTTTGGTTGAGAAGTGATGAAGGTGAAGAGGGAACAAACAAGGACCTTTCTAGCAATGAAGAACCCATGATTTGTTTTGTAAGAGCCATGTTTGTTCTCAATCTTCACCCTCCCTAGAGTCTTCTTTTTTTCTTGTGTGTGCTCCCCCTAGAAGGGTGATGCGGCTGTCTTTGGAAGAAGTGAAACAGATTTGAGAGAGAAGGGTAGTGGCGTGTCGGTTGAAATGGAATTAGCTGGCTATGAATTCTTTTATATACAGTGCAGAGAAGGAAAAGGAAGATTAAATAAAGGTGGTAAGCATGAATCTCACTTCACCGTCCACATTTTTTTTGTTTTCTCTTTTTATTTTCCTTCATCATGTTCTGTAATAAACCGTTTATATTTTCAGTTCCTTGAAGTAGTACTCTTTCACTAAAAATGGTGTTCATCATCATCACCACAATTTGGAGCACCATACAAATATTGATAAAATAAAATATTTCATTATTTGATGAACATAGCAAAAATTACCGGATACTGCATTTACGTGACAATATATAAAATACTTTTATTGTAGATTATTGTAAAAATACATCAATATATAACCTTTTATATATATATATATATATATATATATATATATATATTGTTTTCATGATTTTTTAATTTTATTAATCGTTAATAAATGTTAACAAAACTATTTTATTGTTACGGTTGACTTGTTTCATTTTATGCATAATATGTCTTAATTATATCACTTATTTTTAGATAAGTGACAATTTAATAATTTATAATATAATAATTGATGATTGGGAACTAATGTCAAAGCAAATAAAAAATTAATAAATAAATTTAATAGGTTTATATTAATAAATTATAAACTTGTTTTTTTATAAGGATACCTGCTTTTATTCCTCGGAATATATGTTTATGATAATAATTATTTTCACAATATTAGCAAGTACGTTGGAGTAGTTATTGAAAATAATTAAATAAAACTGTATTTTAATATCTTAAATAGTATTCCATCCGTTCTTTTCATATAATAATGATTAGAATGATATATTGTTTATTTATCAAATATTTTGGAAATATACTGTATCTCTTTTAATTATTTTTTATCAGTTATCTATTAATTTTTTCTACCGAGAACCGTGTATATTTAATAAAAATTCAACCATATTTTTCAAACTAACGTTGGTTTCATACAAAAACAAACGAAGTATTTTGTTAAAATGTTTCTTGTTAAAATAAGGAATTCTCATGTGATGTACTAATATACACTTGTTTATTTATTTAGAATGAATATTATAATGAGTGTAATTTAGGTGTTGCGTATAATTTGTTAAAATATAATTTCTAAAAAAATAAGTATGGAATTTGTGGTTGAGGTTATGATTATTGTTGTCTAAAAAAAATCAAAATAAACGGGTGGTGTAATAAACGCGGTTTTGTTGAAACAACACGGAAATATGGTTTATGTTATATTTCACGTTGCCACACCGTGCTTCGTTCTCCGCCAGGGTCATATCTGCAAAATAGTAATCAATTTGCGTTGACTCGGACCTTGAATTCACACTATTAAAAATTCTTATTTTTAATCGGAAAAGTTTTTGTAAAAATTGCAAGAAAAAAAAACTAATTTTCTAGTAATACACCTTCTCACTCCCTCATCAATTGATTGGTCGGTTCATTCAATCTCCCATACACAAAATATAATAAATTTTACATTTATAATACGAGTATCTAAATTTTAAATTGCCTATATAAGTCATCTAACAAAAACAAAATATCAAATATTTTATTAAGAATTATTATTTTTTTATGATTTTTATGATATATAAATAAAAAATTATTTAACTTTATTACGATAATATATCATTTAAGATATTATTTATTTTATATTGTCTCAAATTAAGGTACGAGAATGATCAAGAATTACACTTAAAGAGTTGTATAACTCATCATTTTAGTCATTATTCTTAAATAAACAATGTGAGATTTAAGTACATATTAATATATATATATGTATAATTGTGTTAGTAAAGTTGGTAATATTTAAGGGATGAGTAGAGAAATGAAATGTTTGGAAGGTAAAATTGATTCGAAACCCATCTGAAGTGCGACCGTTGCATATTGAGGTGTTTCGGTATTTTTAGATTGTGGAAATGGGGTCTCTTTTGTTTCACCTCTTCATTCAACAATCAAATCATAACCCTGTACGATATACTATTCATGCACTATTTTCATTTCTATTTATTACGTTTATAAAACTTCATTCCTTAAATTTAAAAACTTCTACTTTCACTTTCAGACTATTTTTTTATTTGGTTTTTGAATGAACTAGTTTAATTTTGTATCGAGTTAAAATTAGTTTCAAGTATCTTTATATAATATAGTGAAAATGCTAACGACAACATTGTTAACCGTAATAAATGTTTTATAAAGTGTTGGTGGAGGTAACTGTAAAATTGGTTATTACATACTAATAAAAAAAATAACGATAACAGTAGTTTAATTATATTCTTTTATAAGATTTGTTCTTTTTTTTATTGATATATATATATATATATATATATATATATATATATATATATATATATATATATCGATTAGTCAAATGTACTTTTAATATCACGTGGTCTAACTTTTTTTTTTAATTTGATATTTTACAAAAATTTTACAGTTTTTTTTTAATAATAGAGATAATTTACTATAATATAAGTTTATTTAATATTTTACAATCAATGTATAATATTGAATGATGATACATAGCAACCAACTTTATATATATTTTACAATTTATTTTATTAATATAATCATCATAACCATAATCATAAAAATTGAAAATTTTATTATCATTATTATTAATAAAATGTTATGTGTCAATGTATAAAAAAAATAATGATAGGCAAAGAGTGATGATTGTAAAAGTAAACTATTATAAAAAAATAGTAATGTTTTTTTTTTTAATTTAAAACCAAAGTTCATAGTTTTCTAAATTGATATAAAATTATTTTAAAATTGAATTGAAAATATTTCAGCTCTATTTTCGAACACAAGATTTGCTTTTTCACATGTTCAAGAAGAATGTCCTCTTATTTACAAGTTTCTATTCTATCTTCTAGTTTTAATTTTTAATTTACAAGTTATTAAGTCAAACCTACTTAATTAACACATGTTAATTCTAATGGCCAACATATTAAAAATAAAAATTTAAATGAACTACATATAATTAAAAACGACAAGTTGAAACTGTAAGAAAAATCACGATCAAAATTAAATTTTTACTATCAAGTTGTTTGTTTTAAAAACGTGTATACAAATATTGAGGTTTGAATCACTAGATTTTGAGTGCAGCATACTGAATATTAAAAGAAGTGATAACAATTAAATTAGGAATTTCATTAGTGATTCCTAATTACGAAATAATTACACAAGTTACAATTTGAAAAACTAATTGAATTTGAGTGCATTGATGAAGGTGGTGTGTTTGAGCAGCCAAAGAAGGTTTTTCTCCACATGAAATTTCGTGTTTCCCTCCTTCTTGGCCTAACTCTTAACTCATCAAATTCTCTTCCTTCAAAAACGAATTTGGATGGATAATGATGAACAACATTTCTGCTATCTCTTTTCAGCAGTCAACAGCAGCCAAAGGATCACGCATTGAAGAAGAATCATCTTTCCAAATCCTAGTTTTTAAAGAAACCCTAATATTCTATGACCAATGGCAATTGCTTAGTGGGATGGAGCTGGTCATGAGGAAAACAATAACGAATCATCAAAAACAATTTTTTATGGAATGGGAATGAATGCTTAGCAAATTTGGGAAGAAAAGAAAGAAGATTGATAAAATACAAAGTGTTGAACATTCCTTTGAATATAGAATAGTATTTTAAATTGATATAGTTAACTTGGTTTGAAATTTCAAAGAAGAGAGTGTTGTGAGAAACGGAAGTCAATTTGTTTAGGAATAAATTCCAACTTGTATCGTGAGAATTCATACCAAAACTAAACCCTAAACCCTAAATTAACAAGTTCATAATAAGAAGAATTATAAAAAAGAATCTAAATGTGTAAAATATGAATTTGATTTATTTTAAATTTTTTATTAAATTAAACTAATATATTAAAATTTTATATTTATTTTAAATAATTATTTATTGAAAGATCAAACAAAAGCCAGCCCAAACATGCACATAAAAATATGAATTAATAAACAATAATTTTATTGGTAATAGTTTGAAACCACCAACTGTCTCATGAAAATCATATTCTGCAAATATTCAAACATTTACACATGTTAAAATACACAGTCTCCAATAAATGCAAATATATTGCACTGTACTATTTTATACATACATGATATTTTAAAATGATTTAATCTGTTTAATATTTATTAATGAAGATCTAATACATGAATACAAAGTATAAAAATCAGAAAATCTTAACAAAAAGTAGCTAAAGTGGATGTCTGTTCACCAACTTTTATGTCACCGACCACAATGTTTGTTCCGTTCACGAAGAGAAATATGTTGTTTAAATTTTATTTATTTATTATATTAAAAAGTATTCTAACTTCATAATAAATTACATGATACGAATAGTCAATTATAAAATTAATTAACGTGAAATATAGTTATAAAATATAATTAATCACTTTTTTTATTCCTTAACTTCTTTTTCGTCTTTGCATTTTGTGGAAATTCAATAATGTGAAGGATTAAATTAGAGAGTTTAATATGATAAATGGTTAACTAGATTTTTAAGTGGAATATTATTATATTTTTTATGAACAAGAATAAATGGTTTGAAATGTTTGGTGGAAGAAAAGCTTGAGTCCATGTGTTAAATCGGGTGAATGTTATTTCAAGTGCTAAAAATCAACAATGATAGGAAAAAAATGATTTTTTATTTTACGAAACATGTTAAAAAAAAATGAAAGTGTAACATTCTCTGTTCTCTTTCATTCACAGACACAAACACCACTTTTTTATTTTTAAAGATTGTTTGTAAATTCCAATTTTATTGTTATAGTATATCTTAAACATAAATAAACTAATTTTTCCCCTTCATTTCTTTGCATTAACACATATTAACTATTGAAATG